TCTCCTTTGCCTCAATCTCCCCCTCCCCCCCTCCCCTCGCTCCATTGCCAGCCTTGCTTCTTGTTCCACCCGCCTGTCTCCTCTCTCGTCCCCCAGCCGGAGCCCGGGCTGTGCGCACACTCGCTCTGCTCCGCTGTGCTCTGGGTCCTGGCCCCTCTCCGTCTCAAGGACTCTGCCCTGCCAAGTAACCTGCCTTCTGCCGACATCACCAAGGTTTCCCTGACTAACAGGTGCTGTCCCTCAGCATACAAGGGGGTTGTGACGTCCCCCCTTGAAAACAGAGCATCAGCGACACAACTGTGTGAGCCCCTGCAACAGAGATGGCCACTGTCCCCGCCACCCATGCTCTCCCATCTGGGAGAGCAACAGTCCCTCCTTCCCGTCCTGGCACCACTTTTAGAGCACAGGGACGGGGTCAGGAGGCAGCCACCCAGCCGGGAGGGCATTGCCCCAGCCTCTGCTGTCGAGGTGGGGCCTTGTGACTAGTTCAAGGCAAGCGTGGGTGTGGGGCGCAGGGCCACGGGCTGGGAAGAGCCTGTGTTCCCAGACACCACCCGGAGGGAGCTGCCCGCCGCTCAGCAGCACCCGGTGAGGCTTCGCTCGGTCAGGGAGTAAACGTGTCTCTCTCTCGTGTGGGGCTGTTCTGCATCCTGCATCTGCTCGCGACAGCCACCAGCACGACTCCAATAACACAAACCGCGTCCCCACCTTCCTGCTTCTCCCTATGGTGGAAGTCCTTAGGTGACTTGTTCCCTGAACACTTCCTGGCTTCCAGCTCTCCTGTGACCCCAAGCCTGTCCAAGTGTCACCCCATCACTCCCCAGCAAAGCCACAAGCCACGGGCATCGGAGAAGGCCGCGCTGCCACTCCCAGGGCCCAGTTCTAGTCCCCAGTGCTGCCCCTCAGCGGCATTACGCTGGCTCCGGGGACACCAGGCTCCCTGGCCTTTGTCCCTCCCTGGTTCGACCCTCTCGGTCTCTTTTGCTGAGTCATCATCATTCTCCAAAGCGCGGAGACCAGGGGCTCAGGGCAAAGCTCATCTCTCTGCCCCCAAAGCTGCTGCCCTGTGAGCTGCCGCAGTCCTGTGACTCGCAGTGCCCTTTGTGCCCTAATTACTCCTAAGTCCCCCAGGACGCCACCCCGGCTGGCTAATAGACACGTCCAGCTCAGCACCTCCAAAGCCAAAGGATTTATCTGCCCCTCAAACTCGCTCCTGCGCCGCCGTGGTCTCCGTCTCGGTAAGTGGCTCCTCCTCTCCCGCCCGACCACACGCTTAGCCGCGTCTCCCTCCGCCCTGCATCTCATCCAGAGCAAAGCAGGGTCCCCCCAGCGCAAACACCCCTCCACCTGCCCCGATGTGTTAGACCTTCCCCTGTCGCTGCGGTCATGGGCCACCCCCAAGCCCCTGGGGCACCCCTTCTTCTACACTTGCAGCCTTTCAGTTGGCCAGGGGACCTTTATAAAACACATGTCACATCACGTCACTCCTCTCCTTAAACCCTACAAGGATTTGTATGTTCCGGCCCCATAACTGCTCTATCTTCACCTCTTCCCACTCGTTCTCGCTCCCTTCACCCAACCCCATGGGTCTCCTCCCTATGCCTGGAGCATACAAGCACATGCCCACCCCAGGGCCTTTGCACATGCTCTTCCTTCTGCCTGGAATGTTCTTTGCCCGGGCAGCCGTGTGCCTTATCCCTTCACCTATTTGGGTCTCTCCCAGTGTCAGCTCCACAGAGAGGTCTTCCCTTACTGCCCCACCTCAAGTGGCCCCTCCTCACTTCTACCTGCCACACAGCCTTGTTTCTCTCCAAGGTGTGATCGCGACTTGTCATTACCTTATATTCATTTATTTCTTGGTCCATTTCCCCGCCCATGGCGTGTCCTTCCGCAGGCCGCGAGGCAAGGGCAGGGATTAGCAATTTTCCTCTGCTGCTCCCCCGGTGCCCGAGCAGCGCCTGGCACATCTTCGTCACTCGGGAAAACCTGCTCAAGGAGCGAGTCTCCACCTGAGCGAGGAAAGCGCAGTCCATGTCCTCCGAGAGGTAAAAGAGATGATTCCACCATGAGGCAAGAAATGCAAACTAGGAAACAAGAACAGGCAGTTATAAAAAAGAACCAAATGGTGATTTTTGAAATGAAAACTATAAATTCTGAAATTGTAATGCCCATGATTTGGGCAATAAACGTCTTCATAGGAGGGCCAAAGAGCAGAACGGATTCAACCACAGAGCAGACAGGTGAGCCGGACTCGGGAGCCGGACGTCTCCCACAGGAAGGATGTTGATTCCCGGCTCAGGCGTGTGTTGGCATCACGCACCCTAGGTGTCTGCTCACTCACTCATGCATTCTGTCCGTGCTTATTGGGAGCTTCCATTTCTCCAGGCGATGGGACACAGCGGCGGAGAAAATAGCCATAGACTCCATGTTCGAGAAGCTTCTAGTGGCGGGAAGCTGGACAAAAGCAAAGTAAAGAAGCAAAATACTCACTGTGATGGACGGTGGTGAGTCCAACGAAGAAAAGAGAAGCAGGAGAAAGAATTGGGGGTGCCAGGGGTGGGGGCAGCTAAAGTTTAAGTGGGGTGTCGCAGGAGTCCTCACTGAGAACGGGACCTCCTAGCAAAAACCCGAAGGAAGTGAGGCGTGGGGGTCACTGGAGACGAAGGCTCCTGGCAACAGGGGCAGCAGGTGCAAAGGCCCTGAGGCAGAGACCCACCTGGCATGTCCGAGGGGCAGCAAGGAGGCCGTGGGGCGGGATAGGGGGGTGAGGGCAGGAGGAGATGAGCCGAGGAGGCAGTTAAGCGCAGGTCCTTGTGAAGACTTCGGCTGTCACTCTGAGTTAGATGAGGGGACGCTGGCAGGTGTTAGGCACAGAAGTGACGTGGTCTGACGGACGTAAAACGGAACCCCTCCATCTGTGTGGCACATAACCTGTGAGGGCCCACGGGAGGAAGCAGGCAGGCCCATGAAGAGGCCACTGCAACGACCCAGGGGACGCGTGATGGCGGCTCAGGCCAAGGCGGTGGCCGTGGGGGAGGTGAGAGGTGAGCGTGTCGCGGGCAGGTTTTGAAGGCAGAGCCGGCGGGGTTACCTGGGCAACGTAAGGGGTGAGAAAGGAAGAGAAGAGGCAGAGATGGCTCGGGGCATCGCCCTGAGCAACTGGGTGGACGGAGTTCCCAGAGACAGAGATGGACACGCGGCAGGGGAAGCACATTTGGGGGCACTCGGCTTCGGCCGTGCTAAGAGTGAGGGGTTCGCTGGACACCTAACGTCAGGCAGTTGGATCGAAAGTCTAGTGTTCCCAGAAGGGGTCGGGCTGAAGATGTGAAGGGACCAGAGACAGAGACGAAGGCCAAGGACCGAGCCCTGTGACCCCCACCATGAAGGGCGTGGGGAGAGGAGGAGGAACCAGGCGAGTGCCCAAGGCCCAGGGAAGAAAGTGTCTTCGGGGGGGAGAAGGATCAGAGACTGATGAGCTCTGAAACTGTCACTGAATCTAGCAGGGGGGAGGCCACTGGTGACAGCAGGACAGGGGCAGAAACTTGATTGGCGCAGATCCTGTAACGAATGGGGAGAGAAACTGGAGATACGTGTTGGTGATCCTTTTTCATAGACTCTCGCTGCAAATGGAAGCAAAGAAGGTGGGCAGTAGCTGAAGAGGGAAAAGGGACTCACAGGAGGGACTGGAGGGGAAAACGGCGTAATTCTACCCTGATGGGCATTACCCGGTAGAGAGGGGAAACAACGGCCAGAGGGAGAAGGGAGACAGGAGCAGGCGAAGGGAGAGGCTGCAGGCGCACAGCGAGGGGCTGGGAGTGGGGAGAGAACAGGGCCGGGGAGGACAGAATGTGGGGGCACTAGGAGGGTGAGCTCCTGCGAGAATTACACTGTTGGCTTCCGATGGCTTCTATTTTCCTAGCCAAATAAGAAGGAGGGCCATCTATTGAGAGAGAGAATGGAGGAGGAGGTGGTAGGTTTGAAAAGAGGAGATGGTATAAAATAGCTCCTAGTTTGTGTGCTCAAATGTAAGAATAACAGAAGTAAAACATACAACTGACAACCCAAGACAGCAGAAAAATAGAACAGGAAGGCTCAACAGATTCAGCAGAAAATAGGAACAAGGAAACAAAGATTTAGAGGTAAATATAGTAAACAAGAAAACATATTGTTAAGTCCCAACGTGTCAGTAATCATAATAAATGTGAACTGGTTAAAATCACTAATTAAAAGTCAGAGGCTTTCCTTTCGGATTTTACAAAAGGAGATGTTAAGCTTATTTAGCAGCCCAGGCTGATGAAACTGAACATATAAGTTACTAAAACAAAGCCTGGATGTATTTACACCAAAATGTAAACATGATGATTATTGGTTGATGACTTTAAGAGTGATCTTTATTTTAGCTATACTTTTCAATACATTCTGAATTTTGGGGGGAGGTATATAAATTGATTTTATAGTCAGGAAAAGATGGAAAATGTTTTAAAAACCTCTCATGCACTTTAGCAAGTCTTCATGGAGATTCCATTTGCTGTCCCAATCAGTGCTGGGTTCCAATGAGGCTCTAAAGAGGTCCCTGCGCTGGAAATAAGGCCAGAAGGACCATAATAGGAGAGTGCAAGACAGCGTTAAAATGGGGCTCCATGGATGACTCTGAGCCTCGAGCATAGGCGGGAGCAAAAAAAGCAAAGAAGGGCAGGAATAGGCAAGGAGAGCCCGCTGCAGAAGAGGCACCTGTAGGACATGCAGGATGTGGCCCAGAGGTGGTCCTGGAGACAGCACTGCAGGCTACATGTACAGCACAAGCAAGGGCAGGACCCCAGCAGGCCAGCACAGGGCACATGGTGGGAAGTTGATGGATTGAGGCACAGAGTCCAGGGAGGCAAAGAAGTCGTGCATGGTGGATGACAGGAAGGGGCAGAGGGAAGGGTGGGTAAGGCAGAAAGAAGCGGATGGGAGGGGAGCTATTTCTCAAATAGACAGTCTTGTGTCCAAAGCACATGAGAATTAACGGCCGGGTTGTGGGTCACTGTTGCGTTGCACACACACACACACACACACTTGTGTGAACATATGTGCACACACTTGCATGCGTGCACACTCATATACACAGGTGTGCACCCACTTTTCTGCTGCTTTGTGTTCTCTGGCTCTTTAGCCTGGAGAATTAATTGTCCTGACCAAAGGGGCTCTCTTGGCCCTGGTTCAGCCTTGCCCGACCCCCAGCCCCTGCCGGTGAGGCGTCGCTGGCTGGCGGTGACTGGGAGCTGCCCTGGCTTTTAAGCAGGAATTGACCTGAGGGTTTGAAGCGTGGAGGCAGGAAGCCCGAGGAGGGCACAGTGTGGCCTGGGAGAGGTGGGGAGAAAGAATGTCAGGAGGCAAAACGAGCAGGGCCTGAGCAGACTCTGGCTTCCGGGTTGAGGCCACAGCCAGGGCAGGGCTCCCGGGAGGAGTAGATCTGGGGAGGGGACAGGGATCCTAGGGTGCTTTGGGCACAATGAGCTCCAAAGGGCTCCGGAGAGGGTGACAGCAGAGGAAGCTGGGACGGGGCAGCAAACACAGCTGGTGAGTGGCAGTGAGGCTGGGCTGGCTGCCGCCAACACTGGCCACACACAAAGGTCTGCACAGCGTCCCAGGCCCGGGATCAGGAGGGTCCCCGCCTGCCTTCCCTGGGTCACCCTGTTGGCCGGCGCGGGCCCTGGGGGGCCGGGGAAACGCTGTTCTGTTGCATTCGTGCCTCCCTCGAGGCCGAGTTAAACTTTGACCAAGGAAATGATTACTAAACCCTACTCCGTAAGTGTCACCTGGTGACACTTTAATTCCAGTCCGGGTGACTTCAGCCTCCACCTTCTCCATGTTCCAAATTTAGCTTTTTCTGGGGGGTTGGAGCAGCTGCGTCTCCGGAGGGATGTTGGTGGCCTCAGGGTCACACCACAAGGCCTCAGGACCCAGTTGGAGCCACCCCAAGTGACAGCCAGTGGGCAGATGCCCAGAGAGCCCGAGTCAGCGGAGCCGGTGGGCCCTGACATGCCCCTGGCTGCCCGGCGGGGCAGGCAGGCGCGGGCACCGCTGCGGGGCAAGCCGGCCCGGCGTGCTGGCCCCTTTGCCCCGGGCCGGCCCCTGTGAAGCGGCGCCTCCTCTGGGCCCCGAGACGGGCTCCATGGCATTTGCTGAGCTCCTGGACAGAGTGGGCGGCCTGGGCAGGTACCAGGCTCTCCAGACGGTGGCTCTGGTGCTCCCTATCATGTGGCTCGTCGCTCAGACCATGCTGGAGAACTTCTCGGCAGCCGTGCCCAGCCACCGCTGCTGGGTGTCCCTCCTGGATAACAGCACCTCCCAGGCCAGCGTCCTGGACGCCGAGACCCTCCTGGCCGTCTCCATCCCACCCGGCCCCAACCAGGGGCCCCACCCGTGCCGCCGCTTCCGCCAACCACAGTGGCAGCTCCTGGACCCCAACGCCACGGCCACCAACTGGAGCGAGGCGGCCACGGAGCCGTGTCTGGACGGCTGGGTGTACGACCGCAGCACCTTCACCGCCACTATCGTGACCAAGGTGAGGCCACCCCCACCCGCGCCCCAGCTCCCGGCACCTTGGAGGGCAGTCACAGATCACGGTTGGCCGGACTCAAGATGGGCCCGTCCTGGGAGGGACCCACCTCCCCAGGCCTCTCACTCTCGGCCCTCGTCGGCCGCGTGGTCCTGCGGGGGAGCGGATGGCAGGGGTCAGCCCATGGGCAAGGATGGCCCCCAGGCTCCTGGAAGTGCCAGGGCCACCCGAGTGGGCACCTCTGGACGTTGGCACCTGGACGCCTCTCTGGCCTCACCAGTCCTGGCCCTGCTCACACTTCTCGGCTGTGACTCCAGGCAGCTCAGTCACAGGCGGCCTCGGTGACGGTTCGCTGGGTTCCACAAGGCGGGAGCACACGGGGCATGGGGCAGCACGAGGCTGCTTCCCAGACGGCGCCAGTCAAGTCCGGGCCTCTGTGTACAGAACAGGAGGAGCAGCCTCTGGGGCAGGGGCCGGTGTCAGCTCTGGTGGCTGCCGCCCAGTGGAGAGGGGCAAGGGCACCCCCTGGGCACTAGGGAGCCTTGGAGGTCCCTGGGCAAGGGGTGGCAGGATGCTCCTCACAAGGCCAAGCTGTGCCCACAGGTGTCCTCACTGTTCCATGGGGCTCTGCTCTACGACCCTAGAGGTCGCCAGGCCAGCCACCCACACTGAGCTTCCTGGGGGCCTCCCATTCGGCTCCTCTGTCCCTCTGCTGGGGCTGTCACGGCCCCCTGAGCTCAGCCCCCTCCTCTCCCACCAGTGGGACCTGGTATGTGACTCTCAGGCCCTGAAGCCCATGGCGCAGTCCATTTACCTGGCAGGGATGCTGGTGGGAGCGGCCATCAGTGGCCCAGCCTCAGACAGGTGAGTATCCTGGTCTGGGCAGGCCCCCCTCGCCCCTCAGCCCCTGGCCCTGACTGACCCAGACTGGCTTGTCGCAGCCAGGTCTAGAAAGTTCCCTACTTGCTAGGTGTGGGTCTTTGACCTGCCACCCTGCAGCTGTGCCACCTAAACGAGTTTCACACCCTCTCTGAGCCTGGGGCTCACCATGTCTACTCTGTGCTCTGTGCGTTGTAGAAAACCACTGCTTCCCATCAAACATTCACGCTAAGTCCTGCTGGGCCGCACCCTGCCTTTAGCCGCTGGCTGAGTGCCCCTCGTGACAGGGACTCATGCCCAGCTGAGTGTGCCATGGGCTCTGACCTCAGGGACTCTCCTTATGCTCACGAGCCTTCCCTGGGTGGAGAATGTGGGTCTGGCCCTGAGTGGCCTTCAGTGTGCCCTGCAGCTCAGCGGGCAAGCACAGGGCAGGCTCTCGGTGTTCAGATGCCCACGGCCGGTGCCACGGCAAGCCACAAACCCCTCTCCTTTCCGTATGTGTGCCGCAGGTTCGGGCGCAGGCTGGTGCTGACCTGGAGCTACCTTCAGATGGCCATGTCGGGCACAGTGGCCGCCGTGGTCCCCACCTTCCCCCTGTACTGCCTGTTCCGTTTCCTGGTGGCCTGTGCCATCGCGAGTGTCATGATGAACACGAGCACTCTCTGTAGGTCCCCGACCTGGTGCCATGCGGGGGGTGCTCTATGCAGGCTCCAGGGCTGACCCGCTCCGTCTTCTTGCAGTGATAGAGTGGACGTCAGCACAGGCCCGAGCCTTGGTGATGACCTTGAACTCTCTGGGCTTCAGCTTAGGCCAGGTCCTGACGTCTGCAGTGGCCTATGGTGTTCGGGACTGTTCGACGCTGCAGCTGTTGATCTCAGCCCCCTTCTTCCTCTGCTTTGTGTATTCGTGGTGGGTGCCACGCCCCGCACCTCCTCCTGGGAGGAAACTCTGCTCACTCCCCACCCGGGAGAACGGAAGACCCTCCTTTCCCTGGGATGGAGCTCTGGGTGCGCTGCTGGCCGGGGGTGTGAGCTGGAGGAGAGCTGGGAGGGGGCCTGGCACGGGGCTCGGCCACTCCACCTGGGGCTCAGGTGGCCAGGACGCTGCTTTTCCCCTGCTCCTTCCAGGCACCTCCCTCTCCTACTCAGCCTTCTCCCGCCCCACCTTCCCATCACTTCCTGGTCGTCCCCTCTCCTGTCCCTGCAGGCCTTGGCAGCCATCCTGCAGGCTCATTTTCTGAGCCCCTCCTCTGCGCCAGGCATGGCAGCACTAGGCCAGGCTGGGGTGGGATGCAAAGATGCAACACACACACACACACACACACACACACACACACAATCGCACGGCGCAGCCGCAGTCTGCCTTGTAGACTGACATTACTGATGCACGTGTCTATCTGCTAGAGAACCGGGAGCAGGACCGAGTCGTCAGAGGGGACTCCACGGTCCCCACACAGGGCTGGCAGCTATGGGAGGTTGGGAAATGTCTGCACTGCCCTGGAATAGATCAGGCATGGCCCTTGCCAAGCACCAGTGGGCACACAAAACTATTCGGTGGATAGGTGGATAGGTGGGTGGAAGGGTGAGTTGGATCCATCCACCCCACAGAGAGCCTGCTGAGCTTGGCTCACTTCACACACAGGCCCTGCGCTCAGTACTTGCTCGGCCACCGCAGCCGCTGCAGAAAGGAGCACAGCCGAGGCCCAGTGAGGGCAGGCGCCTGCACCCGCGCCAGGAGGAAGGCCGACTTCACAAATCTCTCCCAACCCAACAGTTTGGAGAGGAGTAACAATTAATTTACAGACACTCCCCAGAGCAGGAGATGAGTACATCCTAGGCAGTGGCTCTGCAGGGAGGCCGTTGTGCCTGCCAGTGGCCTTCTGGCATGGCAGATTGACCCCCATCACCAAGAGGGTGGAGCATGGAGGGCAAAGGTCAGTGATGTAGACTCCAGGGCACCCCTCCTGGCTCTCCTATACTGACACTGGACCCCTGTTTTGCAAGCCCCAGGACGGGGTGGGGGGACCCTGGTAGCCTTGTAGACTGTGCTCCTGCAGCCAGTGGGGGGCCTTACTGCACCCAGGCCCCCATGGGCGCGGCTCCTGATGAGGCAGGGCAAGGGCTGTGGTGTCGGGAGGGAGGCAGAAGGGGACAACAGAGTGGCTGCCACAGGCCACAGCACCCTTCACTGCCCATCCACCGTCCTCAGCCTCCCTGAGCCTGGGGCTGTGGGTGCCAGGGAGGCTACTCCTATGGGCCAAGAGGACAGAGGGCAGTGGGCTGGTGCAGGCCAGGCTCTGGGGGCCACAGGCAGTGGCCATCCCATGCCCCCTCCTGGCAGGTGGCTGGCAGAGTCTGCACGATGGCTCCTCTCCACCGGCAGGCCTGACCGTGGCCTGCAGGAGCTTCGGAGGGTGGCTGCCATCAACGGGAAGAGGGCAGCAGGGGACACCCTGACCATCGAGGTGAGGTGGGGCTGGGCCCTCCCCCACACCTGAGCCCTTGGACGCTCAGGGCCCCCTGGGAGGAGGGTCTCAGGGAGGAGGACCCACCTGACACCCCCAGTGCCAACAGCCGCCCCCACCCCGCAGGTCCTGCTCTCAGCCATGCAGGAGGACCTGAGTGTGGACCAGGCTCCCTCCAGCCTGGGCACCCTGTTCCGCACGCCCGGACTGCGCCTCCGGACCTGCGTCTCCACGCTGTGCTGGTACGTGCCCTGCAGCCCCGCCCCACCCGGCCACAGCCTCCACCTCTGGCTGCCCTGGACAGCTGGCAGCAGGGGACCTGGAATCGGCCGGCCCGGCTGCAAGGCCTGGGCCTGTGCTGGCTCTCCTGCTGGTCCCCCAGCCTGAGAGTGCGTCCCAAGGAAGCCCACAGCAGCCACTTCCCCATCAGTCAGACCCCACAGGAGACAGCCTAGGCCGGGGGCTCAGCACACAGCTTTAATAAGCCAAACAGGACTTTGCAAGACCCAGGGAACCGCGTCGGCAGAAAGGCACATCCACGCTGGTTGGAGGGACGCGGAGGAGGGAAGGAATCGTCCGAGCCCAGGATCCAGGGCCACCCAGCAAAGACCACGGAGGGAGGGCCTGTTAACTGGCGGCTGGAGCCATGGAGGGGACATAGTCACTCCCAGACAAAGCCCCCAAGCAGAGAGGGAGGGAGAAACACCCTGGTCTCTCCCCGCCTCCCACCCTGGCCTCCCATCGGCCAGAGCCAACGGGAAGCCAGGTTGGCGAGGGGACCTGGGAGATCCTTCCACCACATAGAGCCAGCAGCAGAAGGGCCAGGGAATCCGACCTGAAAAGAGACAAGCAAGTGAGCAGTCCACTCCCCACCCTGACCCCTGCCTGCCGCCCCCAGGTTCGCCTTTGGCTTCACGTTCTACGGCCTGGCCATGGACTTGCAGGGCCTGGGCAGCAACATCTTCCTGCTCCAGGTGCTCATCGGGGTGGTGGACATCCCGGCTAAGGCAGGCACCCTACTGCTGCTGGGCTGCCTGGGCCGCCGCCCCTTGCAGGCCCTGTCCCTGGTGCTGTCGGGGGCCTGTATCCTGGCCAACACGCTGGTTCCCCGAGGTGAGCAAGCGCCCGGCCCGATGCTCCCTTACCTGGGGGCTTGAGCCGGGAACAGAGACCCCTGGGCCCTCCTCGGAGGGTGCTGGACCAGAGGAGAGCCCAATGGGAAGGAGGCTGCTGGGGCTGGTAGGGAGAAATGGAGGTCCCTGCGTGGGGCAGCGGGGCAGAGTGGAGGGGGCAGCAGCAGGAAAGGGTGTGGCGATGAGACGAGAACTGAGGGAGGGGTTGCAGGGGAGGGCCATGGGGTTGCGGGCGTCTGGGTAGGAGCAGATGGAGAGCATGAGGTCACTTAAGACGGTGCACATGTGGGGCCTGGACCACCCAGGTGGAGGTGACTCACAAACACTTGGAGAGAAGCCCCTGGGCTGAAGGGAGCCCCCATCTGGCCCTGGGCCCCGGCCGCACAGCCAACCCATGCCTATCCACAGAGCTGGGGGCCTTACGTTCAGCCCTGGCCGTGATGGGGCTGGGGTGCATGGGGTCCGCCTTCACCTGCATCACCATCTACAATGGCGAGCTCTTCCCCACGGTGCTCAGGTGAGGCTGTGCCTGGGCCCCAGGAGAGTGGTGCCCTGGGCTGGGATGCCGGGTGGGTGTGGCTTCCCCCATGCATGTTCATGTCTTGCATCTCCCTTCCGTGTGGTCTCAGGGCTGCCTGACGCCCTGGGCCTCCCTGGGCCAGGGTGGGAGGTCAAGGCCATGGGCAGGCAGAGCCAGTGCTCACAGGTGCATCTGCACCCGCAGGATGAGGGCAGTGGGCCTGGGCCAGATGGCAGCCCGGGGGGGAGCCTGCCTGGGGCCTCTGGTCCAGCTGCTGAGCACACTCGGGTCCTCGCTGCCCCTGCTGGTGTATGGGACGGTGCCCGTGCTGAGTGGCCTGGCCACGCTGCTGCTGCCCGAGACCCGGAACCTGCCACTGCCCGACACCATCCAAGATGTGCAGACCCAGTGAGTGGATCAGGCCCGGGACACCCCCCCTCCCTCCCTCCGTCCCTTCAGGGTGGCCCCGACACCCACCCTCTTCAGTGGACAGAGGGGGTGCAGAGGCCCAGAGAAGGACAGCACTGGCCCAGGGGCACGCAGCACATCTCTGGGAGAGTGGACACTCAGGGCTGGGTCTCTGGCTGACAGCGTGGGCTTTGCTCTCTGACCTTCGCTCCACCATTCCAGGCAACAGTGGTCCAGCTACCCGCAGGTCCACCTCCAGAGAGGCCAAGGGGAAGGAGTGGGGAGCCCTTTGTGAGGGGAGACCCGGGCTGTGATGGCCGCTGTCGGAGCCCTCACCGGCCCCAGGCTCCACCTCTGAGGCCCTCAGATGGCTGACGGCTGTCACTGCCCACCACCCTGTGCTCCGGGAGCTGACTCCTGGGCCCCCAAGAGCCTGAGTCCTCAGGATGGACAGAGGGCCAGGGTCAGGGTCACTCCGCACCCTGAGTCACACCCCCTGTGTTTCCTGAACAGGACAGTAAAGAAGGCCGCACAGCGCACACAGGGGCGCCCCGTCCTGCTTTCCACGCAGCTCTAGCCTCCCGGGAAGCCCGCCGCGGGTCGCAGGAGGACGGGCAGGAGGAGGCTTCTTCTGTCCTCCGGAGAGGGCAGGGAAGCACAAAGGCCTCACCTCCAGGGCCAGTGCTGCCCTCTGGGCCCTCGCTCTCCCACCTGGCTGTCCCTCCTGCCCCTCGCTGTCTGAGGCGCCCCCTTCAACACGGAGGGGCATGACGGGTTGGGTGGCAGGAGGCGCGTGGGGCACCGGCACCCCAGCACTCCCTCGTGGCGGTGAAGAGGAGCGGGCCAGGCCTAGGGGAAGGGGCCAGCCCCGTTGACCCTGCCCCGTGCCGCCTCCTCACTGCCCACTGCCGCCCGTCCACCTGCACAGAGCTGGGAACTGCCCATCACCCGCGGTCAAGACCTGGCCTGGCTCCGCACCGGCAGGGGTCTCAGCTCCTCAGGTTCACGCAGAGGCCCCTGGCAGCCTGGGCCTCCACCCCGGGCCTCCCCACGCGTCTGCACACCCCAGCCGCATGCCCGCCTGTGCCTGCAGCCCCCCACTGCTCGCATGCCCAACAGACTGCACTCCGCCTCCCAGACCCAGGACAGCGGCCCTCCTTCAGGGCTCCAGCGCCAGGCCCGAGGCACTAGTGAAACCCTCTCCCACGATCACCGCCACACACTGTCTCCTCCCAGCCCCGCAGCCTGCGAGTTGTCAGAGAGCTGGGCTGGCCCCATGCCCCCACGTCCCTGCTCCCACCCGGGGCCAGGCCGGAGGCACATTGGTGTGAGGACAGACGAAAGAGTGAATAAAGGAACGGATGAGCGGACGCCCCCAAGCCTCCAGTTGTGCCAGAGATGCGCACCGGGTCCCCAGGGTTGGGGAAGGAGGAACGTGTGGTGGTCCCTTGCCGGGCTGGCGGGGGAGGGGGGCGCCTTTCCCAGGCCAGTTTTCTACTCCATGTGGCAGGCTGCAGGGGCCATGCTGGGCACCTCAAAGCATCTTTTCATTTCACCTTTTTCTGAACCCTGTAGGGGAGATGTTGCCCCCATTTTACAGATGAAAAACTGAGGCTTGGAGACACTGCCTGCAACACGCAGCTAGGAGGGGGCTGTATCAGGACTCCAACTCTAGTCGGCCAGTCTCCAGAGCCCGACTCTGACCACAATAACCTGTGCTCCCCTCACCAGCCTCACAAGCCGGTGTCCAGCGACGCTCCTCGAGGGTAGTGGCAGGGCCTCCTCATCCTCTCAGGCTGAGCCGGGCCCGCTCACGGGAAGCACAGTGCAGGGCGGCAGAGATGTGGGAGCAGGCAGGAGCCACCCACTGCCTGGCCAGGTCCCCATCAGCTGTGCCCCCCTCAGGCCACACTCAGACGGTCTCTGGGTTCACCTGTGCCTGTGTCACTGCTTCCTGGCACCTCCGTTCAGGGCTGTACCCCCACACACACACACACCTGAGATGTGTGCCCATGTACACACGCAGGATGGGAAAACAGAAGGCAGCTCCTTGCACACCCCACAAGGCAGGGACCACCCCCTGGCCTGGTCTTGTCAGCCGCAGCCCCTGAGCCTCTGTGGAGTCATGTCCTTCGGCCGTCTGCTTATGGCCACCCCTCAGGGAGGACCCCAGGGCAAAGGCAGGGCAGGGGTCTTGTCTGTGAAGGTGCCTGAAGATGAGGTGTCCCAGCCTGCCCTGGCCTTTCCATCTTTTGTCTGCTGCTGGCTGAGCCCCAGGGCCTTGCTTACCCTGGCTCAGCATTCTTGGGGCCCCAGGGTGTCCAGAAGCTCCCAGAAGGCAGAACCCAGGGCTGGTGGGAGATGGCTCCCCATCTCCCCCAGGGTGTCCCTCCAGCTCACCTAGTGGGTCAGGGCTTCCCCTCTGCCCACATTCGGAGTGGCCTTGTTCCCAGTCCTGCCGGGACCTAGGGCCTACTGGCTTCCAACATGTCACCCCTCAATTAGCTCAACAGGACCTGGAGTCTGGGAGGGCCTCGAGGTGGAGTCTCCTGACATATCCCTGCGAAGACCACCTGTCAAGGAGCCAGGGTGCCCGAATCTCAACCACCCAGGGACTGTTGGGACTTTCCTGGGGTCGCTGCCAGGGACTCACATCAGGCCTAGGTGCTAAGTTCAACATCAGAAGCACAAGATGGGCCGGGCTTGGTGGCTCATGCCTGTAATCCTAGCACTCTGGGAGGCCAAGGCGGGAGGATCGCTCAAGGTCAGGAGTTCAAGACCAGCCTGAGCAAAAGCAAGACCCTGTCTCTACTAAAAACAGAAAGAAATTAATTGGCCAACGAAAAATATATAGAAAAAATTAGCCAGGCTCAGTGGAACACGCCTGCTCAGGCTTGGTGGCACAATCCCAGCTACTCGGGAGGCTCAGGCAGAAGGATCGCTTGAGCCCAGGAGTTTGAGGTTGCTGTGAGTGAGGCTGATGCCACGGCACTCTAGCCCAGGCAACATAGTGAGACTCTGTCTCAAAAAAAAAAAGAAGCACAAGATGACAAAACTGAGACTGAGGTGCCTGTCTCTTCTTACAGATCGGTAAACTGAGTCCATGACCAGGTCCAGGAATCTTTCCTCTTAGAACCAAGTCCTTGAGTGACAGGAGCTCTTAGCCTCCACGCAGAGAAAAAGACCAAGTCCCACAGTTGTATGGCAAGACTGAGGCCCATCCTTCCAACTCCCGGACTGTCCCTCTTTCTGCCCCTCCACCCTGACAGACTGTCCTCCACCCTGTTCAGGGCTATTCTAGAAATTTCTGGAGTAAGAATGTTCTTTCCCTTCCTGATACCAAGGAGTTCCTGCCTGCCTGTCTTTGTTTTCTTTGCCTAGTGGTGGTGGGAAGAAGGGAACCTGAGATAAGTCTCTGTCCCTTGGGCAGAGAGAACAGCAGCAGGGGACTCTAGAGGTCCCCATCCTCAGCACAGGCACAGAAAGTTCTGGCAAGACTGCCCCAAGCCAGGCCTCTCCCAGACTCCCACAGGTGCTTAGAACTGACCTCAGTGGCACTGACCTCGGGCACCAAGACTGTGAGCAGTTGGAGGACAGGCAGGGCTCAAGCCTCTCCCGAGGCTGGTTCAGGAGGGCAGGAGGGGCTGAGTCCATAGAAAGACACCCTGGGGGCAGGTAGGGGAGGCCCTGCTCTCTCACTCTTGATAGGACTTTGGGGGAAGAACCTCAAGAGATCCTAGAGGGCACCATCGTGGGGAGGGTCCCAAGACAAAAGCTTGTCTTGGGGGTGCAGGGAAGGGAGAGAGGGACAGGGGGCTAGGCTGGGCCTCTGGAGATTAGCACCTGCCACACCCACTAAGGCACAGCCCCCAGCTGAAGAGTGGGGCTCCTGCGGGTATGGAGGGGTCTGGGCCTAAAGGTGGACCAGGCTTCAGAACTGGAAAATGCCTGGAGAGTCACCAACAGATGGGAGATCATGACGCAGAATTGGGCAGCCAAGGGCGATGGCGACCAGGCACGAGCAGCAGAGGCAGGACAGGAGGCCAGGGCGATGAGAGGAAGGTTAGGGGCAGGTGGATCCAGGCAGGAGCTCTGAGTGACAGAGTGTGGCTAAGTTGCATCTCATGAGTCCAGTGGTGTGACAGCCCACCACTGCCACCCCTGAGACCCAGACCCACCCTCACTCTCCATGCTGCAAACATGGGTCTCTGTTCCTTGCAACTGAGGGGCTTAACAAACATACACCAATCTCTTAGCATCTCTGGGACCATGGACCTGTCAGAGTCTCCATGAAGAAGTGAGCGCTGTGGACGAGGTGGCCAGCTCAGCCTTCAGCTTCAGTCCCATAGCTGTCCACAGCCAACAGAGTGGATTTAGGGGTGGGGAGAGCCCCAGGATGCAAACTCCCTAGAGGCACAGGGGAAGGAGCAGAGACCCTGGAGTCAGGAGAACTGGAGGCCGACTCAGCCACTGATTGGCCTTGAGACCTGGGACCAGCCACTGAAGGTGTCATAACTCAGAAATCACCACCTCTTCCCACAGCTGTTGCAAGGATTAGGTACACATTGCCCCAGAGGCGTGGGTCCTCTCTAGCCACCAGGAGGCAACACGAAGCCTTGGGGATTGTCCACCTTCCTGGAAGGAAGCTAAGGTCTCTGGAACCAGGCCAGAGACCAGCCATGTTTCCTATCCCCCTGTCCCTAGCCCAGCAGGGACACAGGGGGGAGACAAAGACACGCTACCCCAGGAGCCCAAAGCCCTGGGGGTGACTTACCAGCTCTCAGAGACCCCAGTTGAGGCCCAGACCCCCCAGCCCAAAGCCAGGACCTAACAGCACCCACCCCCCAAAAACTGCACAGGACCGTTGGAATTTGGAAAGTTTTTGTTTTCTTTTTCCCACACATTTCCGGGGTTGGGGTGTTTTCCAAGACTCAGACACATTTGTTAACAAAGAGAGAAAAAAACTGGGGGAGCAGGGAGCCCGTGGGCAGAGAATGACCCCAGCAGTCCGCGGACAATGCCTCGCTCCCTCTTCCCTGCTGCCCACGCCCAACAGGTGCCACAGGCCGCTGCTCATGGTATCTAGAGTATTTGTCTTTAATATATATCTGCATTTGCCTTTCCCGCCCCCCACCCCCCACCCCTGCTCCTCCAGCAGCTTCCCATCAATGCACGTCGCCCGGCAGCACACACAGAACAGGCCTTCAGCCCGAGCCCCTTTCCCAGGCAGCACCAGGCAGCGCCACTCCTGGTGAGGAGAGTTGGGACACTGGGGACAGCCCCTGCCCCACCACGCCCTGACCGCCCACTGGGCCACTGGGCCCACCCTCCCGCCTTCCCCCACCGACTCTGGAAACCCAAAGGGAGGAAAGGAAGGGAGAAACCAGACACACAGAAAAAGGAGAAGTGGGGAAGGAGGGTGGGGACAGAGACAGCAAGCCTGGGATGGGGACTGGAGGGCTTGGGTAGAGAAGGAAGGCAGGAGGGACAGAGGGAGGAAGAAGAAAAATTGAGAAAAATTAACAGGACGAGTAGTGGACACTTTACAAAACCCCCAGCCTTCCTTCCCGCCCAACCCCACCAAAATAAAACTACCCCCCTTAAAAAAATAAATCAACCCAGGGCTGTGAGCACGTGCCCTGCCTGTCGGGCGCAGGGCTGAGAGGGACAGTCAGCCCCAGGACTGAGATGCCGGCGGCAGGCGCAGGCGGCAGGAGGAAGGGGACGAGTACGGGGTTTTTCCTTTTCTTTTTTTGCTTTTCCTCTTCGTAAGAGAAGCCTGAGGCAGCCAGGGAGAGGGTTCCCAGGCCCCCGGCAGGGAGAGGGCCGCACCCTCCTCCCGGGTCCTTCCCAGGAGGGGCAGCTGGCAGTGGGGCACGGTGCCGGGGGCTCAGACGTAATACTCCTTGTCTTTGTTCTTCTTGGCCTTGCTGGGCGTCTTGGGGGCAGCCGGGGCCTTCTCTTTCACCACTGCCCCATTGCTCTGGGCCGAGTTACTGATGTAGTTCCGGCTCTGGTCCACCTGGTAGGAGCCCTCGTCGCGGTTGCGGTACTTGTACATGGCGTAGAGGAGGATGAGGATGCAGAGCGCCGCCGCAGCCACGATGCCCACCACCATGCCCGTGGTGCTGCTGGACTCCCGGATCACCTCCACTGCGCCCGGCGGGCCCCGCTCCCCAGGCCCCGTGGGGTTGGCTGTGGGCAGATGGGGGAAGCCAGGGGCCGAGGTCACGCCCGGGCGCAGGGGGGGAGGCCTCCGCGGCTCGAAGGACGTGGGGGCCCCGGGCCCCAGGGGCGGGTTCTCCAGCAGGGGCTGCAGCGGGTCTCGGTGGTTCATTTTGCCCGCCGGCAGGTTGGGGGCCGGGGCGGAGGGGGCGAGCAGCACCCCAGGGGCACCCGTGGCCCCATCTGTCCTGAGGTTGGGCCGGGGAGCGGGTTTGCGGGGTGACAGGAGGGTGGTGCGGTCCGTGACCAGGGGAAAGGTGGTGTAAAAGTCCTCGTCGTCCGTAGGGGGGAGGCTGGAGTCAAAGACCTCCCCTGAGGCGAAGCCCGAGGCCTCGATGGGCTCCTCGCAGTCGCTGTCGTCCCGCTCGGCCTGGCACGGGCCCCCGGAGGGTGGGCGGCGCGCCGCGGGCGGGGGCAGCGTGTCTTGGGTGGCGCCCACGCCCGTGAGGAAGGGGTAGAAGGTGGGGGGTGGGGGCACGAAGGGGGACCGGGTGGCCACGGGAGGGGGGTCTAAGGAGTCCTCCGTGATAATGGGCAATATTAACTCTCCTCCTAGAACAAGAGAGAGAAGAGAGAAGACAGGGCGTCAGCGAGGACCGGGGCGCAGGCGGCCGGCACAGAGAGAGAAACAACAGCCTCACACACCCAAATCGGTTCCAATTGGCTTTGGCGGAGACTAGAGCGGGCCGGGCCCGCCCGCCAGCCGGCCGGAGCACTGCGCTTTAAGCGGGCAGCGGCTCGGATGCCCTGGGCACCCCACGCACGGGTTCTGTGACTCTGGGTTTTGGTCTTTTGTTTGTCTTAAGAAACCAAAAGGAACAGAAAGAAAAGGAAATTGAAAAGAAACGGAAAAAAAAAAACTCTACTGTTTTAAGGCTTTAAAAACAGATACAACAGCAGCATTTAAACAAACCTAACAACAATATCTTTTAGGGTTTTTTCTAGATTTTTCTCTTTTTTTGCTTTTTTTTTTTTTTTGCTTTTTTTTTTTTAAAAAAGAAGATAGCATACCACGGAATTCAGGCAACTTACATCAACAAATAGGCCGTGTGATTTTAGCATGAAGAAAAAAATTACAAACAGAGCTGTGTAAGCGGGTTCTCCCGGAAAAAAATAAGAAAAAACAACTTTTCCGTACAACGTTTTCTATCTGTTTGGTATCTCCCTCCCTCACTCGTCTCTCCCTGGCCATCTTCCTTCCTCCTGAACACTCTCTCTCCTCCCTCACTAGCGCCCTCTTCCCCTCATTAAACACAAAGCTGAGATCTGCACCGTGCAGGCTGGGGCGGAGGAACTGTTACCACCACTTGGTGTCAGCATGTGGGGGAGGGAGAGAACAGTGGGCAGGGCTTGGAGGGTAGGTGCGTGACAGGCAGCTATGTAGGGACTGCTGCATGAGTGAGAGGACTTGGGAGGGGAGGGCCATGGAAGGGGCATGGAAGGCTGTGGGAAAGTAGACAGTGAAGGTGGGAGGTGAGGAGCAGACTGGGAGGGCTCAGACACACTGGAGCAGGGTC